ACCCCTGAACCCTAAACCCTAAACCCTAAGAAACACGCTCCTCCTCCGGCTCGCCGCGAGGCTCCTCGCGAGGCTCTTCGGAGGCATCGCGGCGCCGGGCTGCGAGGATCCGCGCCGGCGATGCGGAGGCCTGAAAGAGGCTTCAACGAGGTCTTACTGCTAGGGTTTAAAGATTTCGGGTTTAGGGTTTAGGGAAAGAGGTCTTACTGCTAGGGCTTAAGGATTTCGGGTTTAGGATTTGGGGAAAGAGGTCTTACGGCTAGGGTTTAAGGATTTAGGGTTTAGGGTTTAGGGAAAGAGGTCTTACGGCTAGGGTTTAAGGATTTAGGGTTTAGGGTTTAGGGAAAGAGATCTTACGGCTAGGGTTTAAGGATTTAGGGTTTAGGGTTTAGGGAAAGAGGTCTTACGGCTAGGGTTTAAGGATTTAGGGTTTAGGGCTGAGGGAAAGAGGTCTTACGCTAGGGTTTAAGGATTTAGGGTTTAGGGTTTAGGGAAAGAGATCTTACGGCTAGGGTTTAAGGATTTAGGGTTCAGGGTTTAGGGAAAGAGATCTTACGGCTTGGGTTTAAGGATTTAGGGTGTAGGACTTTGGGGCGCTAAGGGTTCAATTAAAGCCTAAGGAGTTCTGTTCTTCCTAAACCTAAACTCTCCGATGAAAGGTAACACGCACAAGAAAGAACGGACTAAACAGTCTAGGCCCTAGCCCTATTTTAACCTACCTATAGGGTTTATCATACCATAAGAGCCCTCCAAGAAGTAGGTTCTGGCAGGTTAAGGTAAGGCTCTAAACCGCATGCCAGCCCCGTTTAAACAAGCAAAGCCCACAGGGTCCTAGGTACCTACTATAGTCGAATGTAGGGTCTCTGTAATAGGAGTTACTTTTCTTAGTAGAATGTAGGGTTTCTGTAATCGGAATTACTATTATGATTTAGGAAAGTATCTCTCGTAGCAGTACCTAGGACCCTTTGAGATGGTACCCGAAAATCCCTTATAGTAACCCTAAACCCTAAACCCTAAACCCTTATAGTAGTCCTGATGGGAACCCTTGAAGGAACCCTAAACCCCTACATAGGACCCTTTGGGAAGACCTGAGCCCCACAGATCTTCAAAATCGCTGTGAACAAACGCGAGCTTGGTATAGGGGCCTTACCCATAGGCTCCATTATAGTTCCTGTTTGTGGGTTTAGGGTTTAGGGTTTAGGGTTTAGGGCTTTTATTTAGGATCCTGCAAGGTAATCCCGAAAAAAAACTACTATGGAGCCTATGGGTAGTAACTGGAAAATGGTTTCGGGGATATAGTACAGCATCATTCTGATACGGGTACCTGAGGAACAGCATTGCTAACTATGAACATCCCTACAATAATCCCTGACAAACAAAATACCTTAAAACCCTTACAGCAGCCCTTATAGATTCAAGTTTAACCTCGGCCCTAAACAACACACCCTACCTTAACATATAACAACCTAGTTTTCTGTTAGGCCCCTATCAACTCTATATTAGGGTCTGTAAGGAGAGCCTACTATAAAAATAAAACAACTGGGTAGCTTAAACACCAAACCCTGAACTCTAAAACCCTAAGACCCTAAACCCTACACCCTAAAGCCCTGACCCCGAAACAATAAACAACACACCCTAAGCCCCATGGTAGGTCCGAGGCAGAGTGGCTCGGGAGTCGAGGTAAAGCCTTTGGCTTCTCCTGTGAGTGCAGTTTTAGGGTTTAGGGGTTTAGGTGTTTAGGGTTTAGGGTTTAGGAGTTTGGGGTTTAGGGGTTTAGGGTTTAGATTTTTTTGTTTTATAGGGTTTAGGGTGTAGGGGTTTAGGGTCGTCTCGGGGGTTTGAAGGGTTTAGGGCTTTGGGCGTCTGGGCTTTCTGCGTTTTTGCGTCGAGGGTCTGGGTTTTTAGGGCTGAAGGTTTTGGGGGTTGGTTGCTCATCATTTCCTTGCCTTTTGGTTGCCACTGTTGCTGCTGCCATAGATTTGTGGTGTTCAGTGTTTCAAGACTTTTTCTGTGTCCCTCAGGACCCCGTGGAGCTAAACCCTGAACCCTGAACCCTAAACCCGAAACCCTAAACCCTAAACCCCTCAACCCTACACCCGAAGCCCTGAACCCTAAACCCTAAACCCTGAAACCCTAAACCCTAAACCCTGAACCCTATATGCAAGGCCAGCAGCCTTGGACTCCAGGTACTCTTTGATCTCGGAGTTCTGGCATTGCTCCTGCGGAGGCAGGGAATCAAAAGCCCATGGGTTTTAGGGTTTAGGGTTTATGGTTTAGGGTTTAGGGGTTGAGGGTTTAGGGTTTATGGGTTTGTCATGGGTTATAGTGCCTAATTTATAGGGGCCCGTATTCTCAAAATAGGGCTTGGGGTCATGCTACAAAACTTACATAGGGACTATAATGAAGGAATAGCAGAATAACATCATATACTACTTGTGCAGATCTCTGAAGTATATAGGGCTTAGGATGCACTTCGAAGTTGAGAATGAGCATCGTGTTGCAGGCAAGGTTTGAGGTGCGGGAGTTTACTCTCCGAGACTTGTGCATCAAAAGCTTTCGGACACAATCCCACGGTATAGGGATTTGGGGGTTCATGTCCAACGTGGTTGGGGTGTGACGTAGCCTCGGTCCTAGCTAGTACCCAGGACTTTCCGATGGTATATCAAGCTTTTGGCAGTGCGATGCTTTTTGTGTGGGCTTCCGGGCACGAAAGCCCCTGGCCTTGAGGCTTTGAAACCTCTGAGGTTTAGGTTTGTCAGGAGATTTAGATTTAGGGTTTAGGGTTTAGGGTTGAGATTTAATTTAGGGTTTAGGGTTGAGATTAAATTTAGGGTTTAGGGTTTAGATTCGGTGTGTATAGGGTTTGGATTTTAGATTTAGGGGTCAGGGCTTAGACTCAAAACCCAAAGCCTCGAAGACTCATAAGCAACACATGAACAAATCCCTAATGAAACCCTGCAACAACCTCCATGTCTATAACGCCTCCAACAAAAGCCTACACAACCCTATACTGCAACCCAATTCGAGTCCCTGTGAGACCCAGGTTTCAGGGTTTTAGACTCTAAACCCGCATCCAGTAACCCCATATCCTAAACAATTCGCTGACAACAAACCCGAAACGGTAGCACCTGACAAAACCCCATACATCGTGCAGAACATCCAGCTTCTAAGGCCCAGAGCAATGCAATCACCTTCCCCCACCACAAACGAACTAAAAGCTTTTCCCTGAACAACGCCCTAAACCGATCCCAAATCCTAAACCCTAGGAGCCCTAAAGCCCTAAACCCGCTAGGTTTGTGGCTTCAGGCTTCAGGGCCCCCGAGACGCTCCAGGAGGTAGCTCTTCGCCCGGTGAGCACGCCACTCCCCTCGGGATACACTGCGGGAGCTTTTGTTCCAGCTTCTTTTGGGGAGATCCTGAGGGCTTAGGGTTTTAGGGTTTAGGGTTTAGGGTTTAGGGTTTAGGGTTTAGGGTTTTAGGTTTTTCTTCTTCAGCCGTTTAGGAAAGCGTGCTGAACCCGGCATCGTCAAAGAATCTTAGGCCCAAGGCGTTTCAGCTGCTCGCGCTGCAGCTTAAGCGATCGGGCTTTCTGAAACTCCTGCAACGTCTGCAGTTTAGGGTTTAGGGTTTATGGCATGGCTTAAAGGGGTTGGGAAAGGAGAACCATGCATACTCGGACAATCCTGGCGAGGCACCAGGCAAGGCATCCGTATAGCGCTAGCGTTTTGGCCTGTACTTACTATGTCCCAATTCCTGCAAATCGGTTTCAGAATATATGCAGACTGCAAATACGGAACCCGAAAGCAAACGATCCCAACGAAACCGACATCCAAACAAGGACTTCTTCTGAGAAGCTTCCACATAGCTCAGGGGCAAACCCCTAAGCCCTAAATCCCTAAACCGTGCCTAAACCCTAGACCATCAGGATGTATCAGGTTTGCGTTTCGGGGCCGAAGGTCTGGTTAAGGAGTTCGGGGGATTTTTGTCACATTATACACAAGGGTTTAGGGTCGAGGATTCAGGGTTTAGGGTCTAAGGCGCCGTCTCCTTCGAATCCCCTGACCCCTAAACCTTAAGCCCTAAACCTTTAACCCTAAACCCTTCACTCTAAACCCTAAACCCTCAACCCTAAAACTTAATTAAACCCGCCCTAAACCCTAAACCCAAACCCCTCAACCCTAAACCCTAAAACTTACACCCTAAACCCTCAACCCTAAAACTTAAACCCGCCCTGAACCCTAAACCCCAATCGGGAGGGTCCTGAAGTCGGTTGATGGCCTCCTGCTGCCGCTTTTCGATGTCCGCGTTGCACTTGAGCTGCCAGAAGTCCAAAGCTGGGTTCTTGTTAAGGGATATAAGGATTCAACCTAAGTTACGCTAATAGGGATCTATAGTAATAAGAGGGTTTCTTTATTATGGTAACTTAAGTTAATTCCCTTAACAAGAGCCCAGAAAGTAGAGGGCATATTCCTAAACCCTGAATACCACGTCTGTTGAAACTCTGAAGCCTGACTCCCAAACCCCTGAATTCCCTTTAGCCTGCAAAGCCAGAAACAAGTACAGGGCGTAAGCTGTGGGGATTGAGTAGACATGCAACTTGTCGCTGTCGTGTCGGCGGAAGAGAGACCGCTGAGTAGCCACTACCGCAACTCTACATGCTGGGTCCACACCGCAACTACCGAGCCAGCCTAAACACCCCTGGCATGATCCCCACCACATCTTCTTTTGTCTGCTTCGTTCGGCAGTTCAATCGAAGTCTGCGGTGTGAGAAGAAGAGCAAACGTGCCGCATGCTTCGCCGCATGTCTCGAGTCCCCGATTTCCGCCCTGGCCGCAGAGCTTTCAACTCGATGCCCGCCGCAACTCAGGGCAAATCTACACACTAGTCACTTGTCCTTGACCGCCTGAACTCCGTCGTCGTCCGAAGGTCGTATTTCTGAGACCTGCATCGCTGGTCTCCTTGGTCACCTTGAACTTGCATCGCTCCTCACCGAGTGCCCATTACCTCAGGCAGCGACTCAAGGCTACATGAAGCTTCTCGGGCAGACACGTAGGGCTCGAAGCTAGATAACCCTGTAAATAAGTTGTAAGACTTTACAAAGTGTTCCGCAACCCTACATGGAGCTGCTGGTCACAACAACGATAATAGTAATCAGAATATAATAATAATAATATAGTAGTAGTAGTAGTAGTAGTAGTAGTAGTAGTAGTAGCAAAAATACAAAAAGGAAACATAACATTAATAGTAATAGCTGTGGCACCAGTGGCCACAATAAGAAGAACAAGTAGCAACAATAACAATAACGATAACAATGGCAATGACATTCATGATGTAGCAATACTAATAATCCTGGTAATGCGACATAATTACAAAACTAAAACAGTAGCAATGCGGAATATACACAGTAATAAGACTATGACTGGTGATACTACTGACAATGACCCTAATCATCCCTAAACTCTAAGCCCTATTCATAGGGATACTTGTTTTGCGGTAATGATCCCCCTAAACGCCCTATAGGCCCTAAACCCTAAACCGCGTCCGCCGGGTGGCTGCTCGTTAGCCGAGGGGTCGTCCGCCGTGTTCGCAGCTTCCGAGCCGGTGGCCGCGTGACCCTCCTCTGGGAGTTCCAGTGTTCCTACCTCTCCTTCAGGGGTTTAGGGCTTAGGGTTTAGGGTCCTCTGGGAGTTCCAGTGTTCCTACCTTTCCTTAAGGGGTTTAGGGTTTAGGGCCTAGGGTCCATGCCCTCATGTAATGCGTATATGGATAATGTATATATATATATACACACACACATACATAATATGTATATGTATATACATATGGGGCCCAAGTCTACACTATATGGCTACGGCTACGGCTGCATGGACCCTCAGGGTTTGGGCTTTAGGGCTTGTGTGGGGTAAAGGGTTTAAGGTTTACACCTCCGACCTTTTAGGAATCTGGGATTTATATTTAGGGGTCTACAATACAAAGATTCAACGAAGCTTGAGTCTTGGGGATTTGCGGCTTATTTTTCGTCTCCATGGCACTCCGGGACCAATAGCAGCCATGGGCAGCAACAGCACTCGCTGCTCAACCATTCCATGCAAAGGCACAGGCACAACAAAGGCCACGCGCCCCTCAACCGTCCCTCCACCAACAACGGCGATGACGACAACGACGGCAGCAACAAAGACGAAGCAGCAAGACATCTGCCGCAGATCATCCGGATCTTCCCCCAACCCTAAGCCCTAAACCCCAAAACCCTAAACCCCTAACCCCCAAGACGACCCTAAACCTTCCTCCCGCAAAGCACGCTGGACTCGAAAGGCACTCTTTAGCCTCAGAGGGAGCCGCGGTACTCGAATCGAGGCTTTGGCTTTCTACCTAGACCCTAGAATGCAGTAATGTAGGGGCCTGAATAATTAGAATAAGTTTTTTTTTTTTTTTTTTTGGGGGGGGGGGTATATTATACTATAACTATAATAAGGAGCCCCCAACATAATATAATTAGGTAATTATTAAGGCCACTGCCTTCTATATTGCCTTTCTTAGGGATACCTCTGATATGGTTAAGATCCTGTGAGACGAAACCCAGGTACCCAAAGAAGAAACTACATTCCCTGTAGAGCGTCAGGACTGTAAAAAGCGGTAGGGTAGATTAGTTGGGCTTGCGCAAGGGTGCGTCGAGGGTCTTCGCACTCAATTTCTAGGTCTGGTTGTTCAGACCATGTAGCTAAGCAATAGCATAATTTCTCAACGGAGACGGCCGGCCGTATAATACCCCGGGTTTGGAAGATAAGAGCCCATCGTTACCATAGGGGCCGTAATAATTAGAATGGGGCGTTGGGGCCCAATACTATGGTTGTAAAAAGGAACAACCAAAACAGCATTGGTAATTATTTAGGCCCTTACATGCATAGTATAGACATAACAAGGGAACCCTAACGTTAATATTGGTAATTATCTATAGGCTTCTATATTACCGTCATAGTTGGGTTAAGGATTCAGGTCTAGGGCTTCGCGGCTTTGCGTATAGACGAAGGCCCAAACGCCTAAACCCGTAAACACCCCAACCCTGTTGCCCTAACCAAAACCCCCAAACCCCAAACCCCTTATAAACCCTAAACCCCTAAACCCTAAACCGTCGGAATTTGGAGCTTAGGCTGGAGGCTCGGGCTGTTGGGTTTAGGATTCTCGGGTTCGGGGCTTTACTTGAGGGCTTTAGGGTTTAGGGATTTAGGGGTTTAGGGTTTAGGGTTTAAGGGTTTAGGGTTAAGGGTTTAGGGCTTAGGTTTTAGGGTTTAGGGGCTTTCATATACGACATCATTCTGCAACTTACTTTTTGAGGTTTCAGGGTCATCGTACTAATCCCAACGGGTTTTGATGATCATGGTAATTAATCTATCTACAGCTTCACCGTATGTCCTGAGATTTACTGTGGGATGATTTTGGTGTTCGAACACATCTGCGTCTTCGATGTACTTTCTTGAACCGTATACCCTATTCACCAACCTAAACGTTGAGTCCGAATGTCCAATCACAAGGTCTCTAAAACTTTAGGACAGGGGTTATGGTGCCTACACGCCAAGCCCTGGCCCCAAACCCCAAACCCCTAACCCTGAACCCAAACCCTACCCTGAACACTACCCCCTGGGCCCTACCCTAAACACTAAACCTTAAAGCCCTAAACCATAAATCCTGAAGCCCTAAACCCTAGACCCTAGAGTAGTGGTTTAGAGATGTTTAGAGAAGGGCACCGTCGCCACCGCAAGCCCGGTGATGCGACGCGGCCAGCCGAAGGGGAAGCTGGGTCGCCTGCAACGACTGGACGGGTTGAGCGCGTTAAGCTTTAGAGCTTTTAGTGGGTTTGGGATGGCTTTAGGGTTTAATGTTTTAGGACTTTTTAAAATCAGGGCTTGGGATAGTTTAGGAAGTTTCGGGTGTAGGATGTAGCGCTTGGGGTTTCAGGAGTTGGTTTGGTAAATGTTTAGGGTTTAGTGCTTAGGGTTTTCTTCAGTGTCAGGGTGCGGGGCTCCGGAAATCGCGAGCGAGTAAAGACTGTTTGTCACACGGCTGGAGGATTACGACGCAATCTTCCAACATCCCCTAACCAACGACTATGCCTTATATAAACTATGGTAGGATCCCTAAAAAAAATGTAAAGAGTGCTGCTGAATTTTGCTATATGGAACGGCCTGGGGACTGCCTTCCTAAGTGGTCAAGGGTTGCAGAAGGCTGTATTGCTACAGAGCGCAGTTCCTAAACCCCAAACCCCGACACTCAAAACTCTAAACCCCACAAGGAATGCGATTTCCAGGTGTTCAAGCTTCCAGCAAGGATCCTTGTACCTCAGTACATGCCTTGGTCCTCAACTTACTTTCCAGCAGCCCCTTTTGAGGCCAATGTATATGCTGCGAAGGCGCAGTGGACCCCGCTCAACCTAAACTCAAACACACCCCTCAATAAAACCAAAGAGAAACCTTTTTTTTAGGAACCCTAAAGGGGAACCTTCAAACTCCCTAAACCCTAAACCCTAAACCCTAAACCTAGGTTCACCTAAAACTCTTATGTACTACTCCCGGCCAGCTGCCACGGGATCGGGAAATCTGATTCGCTGGGTCTAGGAACCTCGCAAACACCTGAGGTCAACCTCAGTTCTAAGTAAGATGTAAGGAACCCGAAGGACGAATATTGTTAACTATTCAGGCTTCTCAAAGGGGTTGAGGGTTTAGGGCTTAGGGTCTAGGGTTTCGGTTCAGGGCCTGGGGGTTTAGGGTTTTGGGTTTAGGGCTCAGGGCTTAGTGTTTGGGGTTTAGGGTGAAACTTGCCGAGACCTTGAAGGTGTCGTTGTAATCTGAGTTCACTTGCTTCTCGTCTGCATCTTAAGCATCTTAAGGCTTAAGGTTTATAGGGTTTGGGATATTACAGCTAGAAAGCTTTTGTAAGGTTTAGGCTTTTCTGAATACTTCTCCTTCAGGAATCATGTGCCTGTAGTACAGTGCATACGTTGGTCGAATCCTCTAAAAGTCGGGGTATACTATTTAAACTTAGGAAGTTGCATCAAACCCCCGGGCTTTAAGAGAGCTCAAACACCAAAAAAGATAGACACAGATAGTGTTTAGGGTTGAGGGTTTAGGGTGTAGGCTAGACAGAGCTCCAGCAAAGGTCCATGCAGGTGCTCCGTCCACCGACATGGCTTCACCTCCTCGTTATACCCGTAAACCCCAACATCATATTCCAACTATTTTGGGCACTACCGGGACCCTGAACTGTAGTGCCCTGTTTGAAGATACAGTGATTTGTGGCTAAGATTGTGCAGCAAGATGATAATACACGGCCCAACTACGGCTTATGGGCGAAAGCTTGAATACAGGCCGTTGAGTTTAGCTTTGCATGCCTGTGGACGATGCCAGCTGCTCTCGACCGCGCTGCGCAGCATAGGACACTGTGGTCCTCGCCGTGGTTTTGGCGATGTTAGGGTTGAGGATGTTTTAGGGTCTAGGGGTTTAGTGTAGGGACCTTGATGAATAGGGCTTCGGGGGTTCCTTATTATAGTTATAGTAGAATATAACCCCAAACCCTATTCTAATTATTAAGGCCCCTTCATGAGGGCTTAGGGTTGAGGATTTTCGGGCTTGCAGGTTTGTCAAGGTTTATTGTAGATATGTCTGTAAAGGTAGGAGAACCTACCATGTCTTGGAAAGGAGTGCTATGATTATCTTGAGGCGAAAAATATTACAAACTATTCCGACCTGTAATCATGAACTTCCCAAACTTCCTGAAACCTTCGAGAAAATCCGAAGCCACAGAAATAAAAGCCGCCACGAAAACAAAAACAGCACCCCAAACCCTCAACCCCTAACCATGAATCTTGAAATCTTGAACCCCGAAGCCAGAAACTGGATTGGATTGTCCTGGGTTGAATGTGTCAGTGTCCCTAAACTCTAAACCCTATTCATAAACCCTAAAACACTAAAATTTTAAACCGAGACCCAAACTAAAATCCTAAACCTAAACCCTAAAACCCTAAAACCCTAAACGCTAAACCCTAAAACCCTAAACCCTAAACCATTAAAAAAAAACCTAAACCCTAAACCCTGGATGGTTCGGGTCTTTGGCTGGCGAAAAAAAAGGTTTTGGGTTTAGGGGCTCAGGGCTTTAGGGTCTAAGGTTTGGGAGTTTCGGGGCTTAGGGTTCAGGGTTCCTTGGTAATTAGGGTTTAGGGTTTAGGGTTTCCTTGGTATGTTTCCTTGGTGTCCTTAGGCCTTAAGCCAGCACGTGCTTTGGGGATTCCTTCGTATCCCCTTGTTTGCATGGTCCTTGACATGGCAGGAGTGTTTGAAGATTTCAGGTAGTTTTGGAACGTCGAAACAGGAAACCCTCAGCCAAGAAGTACTTCAACCGACGCCCTAGGGGTACATGTACGCCAATAGTGCCTTCAAGTGGTCCCTGTAACCCAGTTAGGCATAGTATATACTATACCGGTACATGGACCCGTATGCCCCAAACCCTGATGGTATCCTTGTAGTATTATAGAACACTTCAAGGAACCGCCGGACGAGCCCTTAAAGCTTATAAAGGAACCCTGGGTACATGGACAGGCTTTGGCCCAAACTGCTAGCCTGTTGGGCTGCTGCGCTGCATAGCCACTGCGTCTGAAGCTGAGTGGCTCCTCGGCAACGAACCTGGATTAACGCAATAAAGGGTTTAGGGTTTTTTTGCCAGGACCCTCACGTGCCCCCAAGAATCGAAGGGCGTATAGCCCCTAATAGTAGCGACTTAGGGTTCAATAGAGGGTACAGAGGCATTAAGCAGGCCCCCACTAGTCCGACTAGCTTCACCCTCGCTCGATGATCCCGAGTATCAGAAACTGCTTGCAGATTGCTGTAACACGGTATAGAAGGAGGTCTAGGTAGGCATCCTGATAATAAGAATAGAGTTCCTTTGTGTTTTTGAGGCTTCTGCAATATAAAGGGTCTTCAAAATTGCAGAATTACAACAGGGTTTCGGGAAATATATAAGGACTGAAAGCGGATACGACCACAATCCTTTGCGACAAGACCCTTGATGCATAATCTCCCTTCTTTAAAGGCCCTGATCATCGAATCCCTATGTTAGCTTTAAAGCTGTCGTTTTTAAAATCAAAGTCATCATTCTGTAGGGATTGGGTGTTTAGGATCTACGCTTTGGGGCTTAGCGTGTAAAGAACATGTTTTCAGTTGATATACATGACGTACTTGTCTGGTGAGTAACACAGGAGCCGGAATCAGCGATTCTGGCGTGGTTTCATGACGCGAAATTCAGGATTTCATAAACAGTAGCACTTCTTGTTCAAGTCTCTCTGTCCTATGTTCTTACTACTACAGACTTCAGACGTGCAACAACAAAAAACCCTAAGCTCAGAAACAGGCGATGCCTCTTTGCAAGCCAGAACTCCTAGAGCTTTCGCCTCAACTCCGGCATGCCCCTCTTGTAGACAACAGGGCTTAGGGTATTTAGGGCTTAGGGAACCTGACTAAGAAACCCTGCAGGATCTTCTATGACCGCTAATGTATTGAGGTTAGAGGACCAAGGTTCCTGAATCAGGTTCTTATATCAGCTTCGCGGGTCTGGGTGCGAAGGTTTACGAAGCCAGGAACCATGCAGGGTCGCTCTGGCTGGGTAGTACTGCCCTAAACACTATACTACACATCCACTACTACTGGAACCCTACACCCTAAACCTTCATGGGTTCAACTGCCGAAGTCGTATAGGTGCTTGGGGCCCCGTACTTGGAGGCCCAGGGGACTTAGTAAGTAGGTTTTAAGTAGAGCTATAAGTACCCTAAATGGAGTTACCCCAATTATAACCCTACTTATAACCGACTTACTAAGTCCGTTGGGCCTCTAAGTACGAGAACCAGAAAAGCTTCCGCATCGGACAGGCCGCTGGCGGCGTGCCAGGTACGAAGACTGTTTACGCTGCCGCTGGGCGGCCCGAATGGCTTCATCTTCCTTGTGGCTTACGGTTGAGGGTTTAGGGTTTAATGTCCTGGTCAATTACCAATACAATTTTGAGGGCTCCTTGTTATAATTATAGCATAGCGGGCCCCAAAACCCTATTCTAGTCGTAAAGGCCTCTATACTGGGGGGCTTTGGGTTGACGCTTGCTTGAGATTCGGCTTCGGGCTTGGGGGATGTTGGGCTGTGGAACAGGGAGGCCCTAAACCATACTTAGGGGCTGAGTACCCTAGCCCAAAAAAGGTTAACTTTTCGATTTTAGTAGGATTGTAAGAGCCCCAAAAGGTTAAAGGTTACCTACTCAGCCACTAAGCATAACTACACCCTAAACCTCGCACTCTCAATCGGCGCAGCTTTCCTTACTCAAAGGGTCCATGTATACTACCATTATGGAATTGTGCGCCACAAGACCGCCATTCATATGGGTTTAGGGACCTAGCTGCGTAATGGTAGTATATATGAACCCTCTCTGTGTTGGTATTCTGACCCCTTGCGAACTGCATGGACTTTTCCAAGAAACAGTCGCACCGGTCACGGCCGATTCGTCAGAGGGAACTTCGAGGTGGACCGACGGCGCAGGTTGCTCTGTAGCCTCGGGTTTAGGGTTTAGGCCCTAGGCTAGGACGGCAAGGAATAATTTTCGGTACTGCGGGGTTTGAGGGTTCTAGGGTTCAGGGTGTTCTGGTTTATGGTTAAGTTTAAACTGTATGTGCATATGTGGGTTAAACAGCTGTATGTATGAATATATATATATATATATAAATGTATAGTCAAAAGTATTCTCCAACTGTTTCTTAGGGCGGGAAGTATCCGAGGCTTACTCATGTGGTCCTTAGCGTTAGAATAGGGTTTCAGGTTCATGATAAACTAGCTATGCACAGCAAGGGGATGCTACTGTTAATTATTCGGGTTGTTCGACGGCTCATGCGAAGCCGGATTCGTCTAGCAGTCTCACATTTTTTAGACAAGCCCTATATACACGCAACAAGCCCCTAGTACAAACCTTATTAATTAGTTCAAGTGTTTGGGGATTGCGGTTTTGGAGTCTGTAGAGACCGGTCAGCCCGGCTCAAACTTGGGGTTAGTTTTCAGGGGTTTAGGGTTTAGGGGCTTGGGGGTCAGGGTTTAGGGTTATATTGACACCTTTGGCCATGTGGGGGGAAGCATTCCAGCAACACTACAGCAACAGACACATCACCCGAAAGTTGTTGCAAGCCAACCTCGCCAGACTCCGCATCTTGCGGCTCCTCCTGCATCTAAGGGTTCGTTTGTACTTATGACTTTTGGAGGGGGGTTCAGGGTTTAAGGTGCAAATAATACTATCTAGCGACAAGGAATTTGAACTAGGTTAAACTGAGGCTCCTATTTTCACTAATCGTATAGCTATACAGGGGCTAAAGGGTAATATTTGTATACTTTCATCACGTAGAGCAGGCTATCTCCTGGAATGGCTCGTAGATTACCACCTAGTTCAGCCATCCCCTCCCCACCCACCCTGCTTCTAAACGCCCAAATCACAAACTCTTAACCGCACTGGTTCCCAAAACTCCGCCTCAAATCCCCGAATCGCCTCACTTTAGACCCTTGCATACACTCCAAAGCCTCAACACACAACCCTACAGCACAAACCCCAAGCCCGAAACCGTACACTCCAAAACCTAAACTCCAGAGAAACCCAACCCTTCAGTTTACATTCCAATCCCTCCAGGGCCTGCCCCGCTCCAGGGCTTCCTGGCAAGGCCTCTGCCTGCGGGCTTGGGCTTGGGGTTTCGGGTTTAGGGTTCAGGGTTCAGGGTTTAGGGGTTTAGGGGTTTAGGGGTAGGGGTTTCGGGGTTTAATGGTGTAGGGCTGACGGTTTAAATTGTTTAGGGCGTGATAATATCAGTGGATGTGGTGAGTAGACTGTAAGTATAAAGGTACAACAACGAGGATTTCCTGGTCATAGCCCTTCTTATACCCGACGTGGCAAGTATCGGGAAGGAGCTAACTATCAGAACCAGGGGTGCGATAAATCGTTGTTTACAGGTTGCATAAGAAGCTATAATTCAGCCTCGAACCACATCTTAAACCCTAAACCTTAAACCCTAAAGCCTGAATCTTAAAATTTGGACCCTAAGCCCAACAAGCCCTACACCCTAAATCCTTGAAGGCCATAAATACCCTACACCCCCAAACCTTAAACCCAAGCCAAGACTCAGCCTCGCTTTCCAAAAAAGCGAGATGAAAGACAAACCGAGAGAAAACCAGCCTAGACCCCGAACCCCAAACCCAGTAAACCTAAACCCCTAAACCCTAAACCCGAGACCCTAAACCCAGTGAGCCTAAACCCCTAAACCCTAAACCCGGTGAGCCTAAACCCCTAAACCCCAAACCTCTCAGCGCCTCTGCGTCGGCACCGCTCTCCGGGGCTTCCTCATCTCCGCCTTCGGCCTCGAAGGATCCGCCGTTAGTTTAGGGGTTTAGGCATTAGGGTCTATAGGGTTTGGTTTAGGGTTTCGGGTTTAGGATCGGCGCCTTGGAGGACAAGAACAGGATTTTAGGGGTTTTAAGGGTTCAGGGTTTAGGGTTCAAGGGCTTCGGGTTGAGGGGTTTAGGGCTTAGGGTTCAAGGGTTTTTGGGGCGTAAGGAATAGAACTGGATTCGTTTGAGGGTTTCATATGAGTTCTAGAGGGTCTAGTGTCTGGGGGCCTCAGAAATTACAACAGTGTATTTGGGGGGGGGACATCAGAATAAAACTATCGTAAGGATCCGTAACGGATAGAATTTGCAATTATTCAGGCGTCTTTATTGAGTATTGAGCTCGTTCTGGTCCTTGCTAGTCTAGTGTTTAAGGCTTCGGGAGCATATGATACGGACAATCCATGATAAGGAATCTCACCAAAGAATATTGGTAGTTGTTCAAGCTTCTATTGTATGTTAGTTATGCTGTTCTTCTTGCATTTACAACTTTCAGCGGCTGTAGGGATTATGGGGATCAGGTCAAAGGGCCTTGGCATTGTTGCGAGCTTCTAAAGGTCGGTGCCTTTATAATTAGAACAGGGTTGTGGGGCCCACTTCACTATACTTATAATAGGGAACCCCCCAAAAGCAGTATAGGTCATTATTTAGGCCCCTATAGTACAGAAAATCGACACCAAATCCAAGAGCCTCGGCATCTTTGCACCCGGAGTGACTGCAGGCAACGTTGCAAACACCCGTCCACGAATTTGTTAATCTTTACGTGCGGTACATATAACCCTACGATGTCCGTAGGGCTCACCGTTTAAGACGTGAGGTTTAAAACTTAAAGGATTTACCTGGACCCGAAATTAGCTACCTTTTGAAAGACTTATATACAAGGAAATCATAACTCCTGGGAAAGTAGGCTCTTTAGGGTCCAGGTAGGGCTAAGGCTTCAGGATGTATGATTTAGGACTTCTGGGTGTAGGATTTGCGGCAATTAAAGTCTAGGGATCTCTCAAAGGGCTTCTCCGAACACTCTTTTGTTTAGTGGCCTTAATACATAGAATTTGGGCTCCTTAATAATTATAATAAGGAACATAAGGAATGATATTGGTAAGCATTTAGGCTTCGAAAATAAATTTCTTGAAGTCTTTTCGATGTGAAGGCTGCGGTTTGAGGGCCTAGGGGCAGGCACTTCTTCGGTTGATGAGTTAGGACCCTATAGCAGCAGCCATAACATACCCTAAACCCTAATCCCTAAATTTCGGGGTCGAGGAATCAAGGAATGCTAGGGCTCCACCTCCGCCTCTGCGCCACAAGCATCAGGCAACTTCTTCGGTGGCTTCTTCCTTGGCGAAGTATAGGGGGGGCTCGGTCAAAGGGTTCGTTTAAAGGCACTTTCTAAGGGTTGCTATAAGGGTTTTGCCATGGGGGCGCTAACCATTAAAGGAGAAGTCTTGGGGACATTATGTCAACTGCTACAAACATATACTGTGCACTCTAGGACTTTAGGGGACACCATCTTCTACCTGGGGCTTCAGGGTTTAGGGCTTTTATCCTCGCCCAACAAACCTTGAGCGCATGTGCTGCAAGCAGTCTTCCGTCTGGGGCAGTCAAAACTGATTACTTGTCATCGGGAAGCTTGTGACGATGTATTCTGTGATATCGTGCTAGGAAGGCCGCACAGCCCAAAAGACCCTCCCTCTAAACCCTACCCTAAGGCTCCTGGACCCTTGTAGTGAGATCCCAAACCTTGAGGCCCCCAAAGCCGAAGCCCTCTCCCAGAAAGCCCAAGGCCCTCTTAGGAGCCTTTGGGCAAACCCTAGATGAAACCCCAGACCGCAAGACTTTAAACCCCTAAGATAAGGCCCCAAAAAAGCACCAAAAACTAGGATAGGGATATCCCATATAAACACCCTTATAATGAAGCCCAATAAGGTAGGGATATCCCTAAAAAAATGCGTATGCTTATGTGCTTTTGGGGTTCCTAGTAAGAAACCGCAAGTCTCCCAGACGGCGATGCTGCAGTAAAGGCTCCATCGTAGCTCCGTGTGTGGCTACAGCGTCCTGCAAAAAAAACACCCAAGGTAACCCAAAGAACCACATAGAACGGAGACCATTATACTACAAACTGCAAGCTCGAAAGGAAGCCCTAGGATGTAGAACGGAGACGAGAGCTAGACCTCTGATGAAAACCTAAACCCGTATGGAACTCTGAAAACACCCCCTACAAATCCTTTCAGAGTTCCTTGAAGGGCTCCCATAAAAGTTCCATGTAAAGGAACACTGTGAAGACCCTAAACCCTAAACCCTAAACCCTGAACCCTGAACCCTAAACCCTAAACCCTGAACCCTAAACCGTTAGCGCCCAGGATCGGAGCACGCTTGGGTGTGCCCCGCCGCACCATCCGTTGGTGGCCCACGAGGAGAGCAGATTGCGAAACTTTGGGACTTCTTCGCCCTAAGGGTCCAAGTACCTAATAACCATATACTCTCCCAAATACTAAGCTACATGACTACTATCCGTAACCCAAGTACATGATTATTGGGTCCTTTGGACCCTTGGGGTTTTAAGCTTCCTGTAAGGGTCACATCGGAGCTAACTGGAGTCTTACCAACAGCATGCTGCGAAACTCAAAACCACGAGAAAAGGCTTGAGGTGAAAGACTGTAATTACGTGGCTGAAGGCTCAGTCTTTCGGGGTTCTGATCTTGGGGGTGGGGCTTGAGGCTCGAAAGAACTCAAAATTAATAAACCGTTTCTATTACGAAGCCGTTAGGATTGACGGCTTTAGATGATGAGAAACCGCTTAGGGTTTGCAGCTTTAGGGTTGAGCGCTTAGGGCTTGGGGTTTAGGGTTCAAAGAGCTCGTTTTGGATCGTTGCTGGTTTAGGGTTCAGCGAAGCACATGGCCTAGGTAGAGCCGGGGGTAGAGTACCTGCAATGCCAAACCCTACCAACAACAACTGGTTAGGACCCCTAAATTTACAGGACCAGGCAACTTCAGCTTGCGAAGGCTGCGGAGCATGGAGATGATTCTCAAGGTGCAAAAAAGTCAAGACTACACCGCGAAGCCGCAACACCCGAAGCTTAACCTCTACCTAGAGGGTCATACCCTAGCCCTTTTCTAGGGTACCTGGTTTGGTGGTTAGGGCCTGTTGTAGAAGTAAAGTAAGTACCACCCACCCCACAAACAAAAAAAAAAAAAACGGTGTCGGGCATGAGCCTCCAGTAACACCCGCACCCCCAAAATAAAGCATAGAGACCGGGTCCAGAACACACACATGTGTTCGTTCATGTCCATCCCTGCCCAACATATCCAATAGGGGTTTAGGGTTTCTGGTTAAGTGTTTAGGTTTTAGGGCCGGGGCAGACCCTAAACCCTAAGCCGAGAAGCTTTTAGTAGAACCTTTAAGCGAACCTTTGTGAAAAAACCTTCCCCCTTAAAGGAAAGCCCTAAATCCTACCCTGACAGCGAACCCTAAACCCTAATCCCTGAACCCTCAAACTCCCTTTTAGAACCCTTAAAGGAACCCTCTAGGAGCCCGTATTATAGGAGCTCTGAAAGGAGCCCTTATAGGACTAGAGCAGTCTAAACACCCTTCAAGAAGCCCTTATAGGAGCCCTTAACCCTAACCCCTTTTCCTGCCTTAAAGGAACCCTTGAATGAAACCTTAGAGGAACCTGAAAAGGAGCCCTTAAAGGGACCCTTAAAGGAACCCTTGAAAGGAGCCCTTAACCCTCGCTTGGAGTGAACCCTTCGGGCCTTCCAGAGCCTCCTTTCTTCGGCACTCGCAGTCCTCAGCAAGCTTGGCAAGTTGCAGGGTTTAGGGTTTAGGGCCTAGGGTTAGGGCCTAGGGTTGGGGCTTAGGGGTTAGGGCTTAGGGTTTAGGGTTTAGGGTTTTTTTTTAATGCACTAGCCCCCTTTCTCTCGCACGAGGTCAGAGGTTTAGGGTTTAGGGCTTAGGGTTTAGGGCTTCGGATTCCAGAAGGGTTTCTTTACGGGCTCCTTTAATTAAGGGTTCTTTCTAGGCTTCCACCACCGAAAGCCGATGCGTTGTTTCGACTTGTTTAAGGAAATTATTAAAAAGAGCCCTAAGCAGAGGAGCAAGTTCTTTTCATTCAGCCTAAACTCTGAACCCTACACCCTAAAGCCTAAACCCAAAATCCTTAAACCCCAACCCCGGGTTCAGGACTTAAGGCTCTAGTTACATCGGGGTCGAAGGGTTCCGGGTTGAGTCTGAAGCCGGGGCATGCGCATGTAGGGGCCCGAATGATTAGAATAGGGTTTTGGGTCCTGTACAATACAACTGTAATACGGAACCCCCAAAATAATATAGGTAATTACTGAGGCCCCTATATTGTGCATGTAGGGGCCTTAGTAAGTAGAAGAAGGTATAGGGTTTACGGTTTAGGGGCCTTAGTAATTAATTAGAACCAGCTTTGGGGTCCAGTCTACCATGGTTCTAATCAGGAACCCTAAGGAACAGCATTACCACGATTTCGGGCTTTATAATATGCAGCCCAGCACTGTGAAGCGCACTGCCGGCCTCCCTAAACCCTAAACCCTAAACTTTCCGAGTTCTGTAGCTTCTGATGTACAATTACACAGCAAAGGGTCTCCAGGCTTAGGCCTTATTTGGACTCTGCATGACGTCCCTTATGAAGGACATATATGAGAAATCATAAATACAAGGAGCTTCCTTGCGGTCCAGGTAGGGCTTTAGGGATTTGGAGGTGGTGGTCTTTTGGGGCAGAATTCCATACTGGTAGTATCGATGGACCCTCTGAAGACCAAAGGCGAAGAGTGTAGGAAGGCAGCCAGCCGCCGGACTCCACCAATGAACTGCTCCAAAAGGTCCAAGGGTGTAAAGGACCCAATATTTACGTACTTGGGTTTAGGATAGTAGTTTTGTAGACGGTTATTATTAGGGTTTAGGGTTTAGGGTTGAGGGTTATTAGTATGGAGAGTACATGATAACTAGGTGCCAGGACCCTTGAGCTAACCCATAAACCCTAAACCCCCTTGAGGAAAGTGGAGCCGAAGACCCGACAGCCTGAAGAAGCTCAAAGCCCTTACCAAGAGCCGAGCTCGTCGGGTGGCAGTGTTGGGAGGTCTCCCATCTTCTCCTGTTAGGGTTTAGGGCTTAGGGCTTTGGGTTTAAGGTTCAGGGGCTGCAAGAGTTCGAAAAGTGCAGGACATGCTGGACGTTCTGGACTGCACTCACCCAACCGACGTAGACTCCGTCCACGACGGCAATGCCACATAACCACCGTCATGACCAAACATGTCGACGAATGGAAGCAAGTAGCTCGCGTGGACAGAACCATTTGCAACTGGATGCAACGATCTTTCTCCTTTTTTCCTTCGCCACGCTCATGCTGCAGCTTTGGCTTCTTTTTGAGCGGCTCTCGGCAGGATGCCGCCTCCGTCGGGTCCAATTTGTCGGGGTCGGCTGAACCGAGCGCCATTTTCAGGGCCTCTCGGAGCAATTCGGCGTCGTTTGCCCCTTCTGACTGCCTCGCCGTGTTCGTCCCTGCCAGGGTCCGGTTCAGGGTTTAGGACTTAGGGTTTACAAGGTTTTGGGTACCGGTTATAGGGATGTAGCCGTTTAGTGAGATGTCTATCGCCAACCCGAACCCTGCGGCCTTTCGTCCCTAAGTCCTTAGCAGCCCTCATCATCATCATCTTAGGGTTTAGGGTTTAAGGGTTTAGGGGTTTAGGGTTCAGGGGCTCAGTGCCCTTCCCCAAAAGGTTGACCTTTCTACTTCTGGTCGTAGGGTTATATAAACACGAAAGGTTAAAAATTATCTTCCCAGCCCCAAAGTAATTAATAAGCCTATAGAACTGATGTCGTATGTCCGAAACCCTATACTCCCGCTTGCGTTCATGGCGTCCGTCCAAAGGCCGAACCCTGACACTAAATCCGACTCCTTGGGCTGGGGGGGGGCCTGGACAGATTGTAGGAAACCCGAAGGAATACCATTGCTAGCTGTTCAGACCCCCAAATTGCGAGTTATTCAAGGCCCTGTCTGAATTGCTACACCCGCAATTGTAGTTTGTTTTGGCTGGAGCACCTGTTGTCCTCCTGAAGGCTGAGAACCAAACCATCAAAGCAGCCAGTCAAGCAGAGGCACCACCATTGAGGCAAAGTGTATGGGACATTATGGGACCGGCATCGCCTCCTAAACCCTAAACCCTAAACCCTAAACCCTAAACCCAAAACCCTAAGACCGTGGATATCGGAACCTGAAATCATCGAAAAGGAAGCGCGGTTCTAGCATACTATGGCTACATGAGGGAACCCACGGGCCTCAGTTTGGGGTGTTTTTTAGAGCTTTGGGTTTA